CGCCCGCACGTGGTATTTTGTGGAAGAGCCACACCCAAGGGGCCACAGTTTGCCGACCACTGTGCTAGGAGGACTCGAGCTTGAGGACAGATGAAAACGCACCCAGCGAATTGTTACTTTCAAAGGAAAATCTCTTCCTTGTCGCCGCCCCCCCCCCCCCCTGCGCTCCCCCCCTCCCCAGGAAGCTACCTGCTTCTCTTCTCTACGGCTCCGCGTGCGGAACGCCACTGCTTGCCATTCTGCTTCAAGCGTTAGGCGCGAGGCGATGGCAGCGCACCCGCCGGCCATCTTGAATCTTCCCCGTGTGTTTTCCTTCACTTCCCCCTCTGCTGGGACCTCTCTTAAAAGTATTTTTTTTTCCGAAATAGGAAAATTCTTCATCATTAATCTAGCCCTAACGTACTTAATTATTGTTATAGATATCAGCTTTTTAACCAGGGGGATGATTCAGAAGCAGTAAGGCTTTTGGACACACATACACAGAGCAAATAGGCAACCACGGTAACGTAATGTTATCATGTGATTGGACGAAGGAACTAGATGTTCACGTGGGCATTATATATACGTCAACTTCTTTCAGATCTCCCATAAATGTAGGTCATTTTAGCTTTTTTTTTTTTAATGTTAAAAGGGATTCTATCGCATGGGCGCGGAGATCAATTTCCCAAATGATCCCCCATTTCCTTGGAGATTGGGGCTGGGTCTACTTTTCAGATATGGCAGCGAACACAGGGATCGCCAGCCTTTCACAGTCACGCCCCTTGGTTTCCTAACGCAGCCATTTATTTTCCCTGAAGACTGACGTGTTCCTCCCGCCTAATTAAAAAAAATTTTTTTATTGATTTTTAGAGAGAGAGGGAGAATGAGACAGGAACATCATTGATGGGCTGCCTCCTGCACGCCCTCTACTGGGGATCCAGCCGCAACCCGAGCATGTGCCTGACTGGGAACCGAACCGGTGACCTCCTGGTTCCTGGGTCGATGCTCACAGGCTGAGCCTCACCAGCCGGGCCACCTAATTGTTAAGAGTTGGCAAAGGACACTTTAGTTTGCTGAGGAACCCATTTGAAATGTTTTATGTTTGTTTGTGGGTTTTTTTGGTTCTTGTTACTTAAGCCAAACATCATTGGGCACTGAGATCACGCGACCCTCAAGTCATCTTTGCTCCTTGGTGATGCGCTGCCAAAGCCTGGGATCCCTGCCGGGCACTCGGTAAACCCAGCTGGTCCCCGAGAGAGAGCCCACCGTGCCTGTGTTCCCTGCGGCTAGTGCCACGCGCTCTGTGCCAGTCCCTGTGCCGACGGTCCACATGCATTTGCACCTATATGGCGCTCTACACATAGTAGGACCACAGTCAGTATTTGTTGAATGACTGTGGGGTCTCCTTCCTTTCTCAGAATTCCTCCCGGGGCCGTCCTAATGATCCGTAGCTTCGACGGCCAAGGCTTTGGGTAACTCACTAAGGCACATGGTTAGTCAACAGTGATGCTCATGGGGCTCCAGTTCAACCTGGCCCCAGAGCCTTTCTCCTGTTTATAAGACACAAACGTCCCAGGCCTGCCGGCGTGGCCACGCTCCGTGCTGCGCATACGTGGGAGCGAGTCTGTACACTCCCCTCTTTTTTTTATTTTAAATCTCATCTCATTTCTGGGAATCCTTCTGAGATTCCAAAATAACCCCAAACTCCAGGTGTTATTCTATTTTTGACTCAAGTCTTTAAAGAGAGACGAAGGGACCAGGAGAACTGGCGTGTCCAATTGCCGGGGGTGTCTCGCCGGTATCAAGGCCAAGCCTGGCATGAATGTATCCCTTGAACAACTGCTTTGGTGGCGTCCGACTGTGCCGGGCACAGGGCGAGGCCCGAGGGATCCCGGCCAATGGAACGTCTCCTATCCAGATCTCCATCGAAGGCAGAGCAGAATCCAGAAAGCAATCATTGTGCCCCGGCCGGTGTGGCTCCGTGGACAGAGCGTGGGCTCGTGGACCGAAGGGGTTAGATTCCAGTCAAGGGCATGGACCTCAGAGGCAGGCTCCATCCCCAGCCGGGGCCGGGGCAGGCAGCCAATCGATGTATCTCTTTCACATCGATGTTTCTTCCCCCGCCCCCTCCCCACCCCTCCTTCCACTCTCTCTGAAAATCAGTGGAGAAAACATCCTCGGTTGAGGATCAACCAAAAAAAGAAAATAATAATTGAATAATCGTTACCAGGTGGGAAGGGTACTCTGAAGGAGACAGACAGGATGCTGTGAGATGAGTGACAGGTGGAGTGGGAGAGGGGTCCTGCTTTTAATAGTCTGGTCAGTATCGCCGCCTCCCAGGCAGGGGTGCAATCCCGGTAGGACACTCGCTCAGATCTCCGGCATGTTCACAGCTTCTCCAATGGAACGCTAAAGTGACAGGAGCCTCCCCGTTGCTCACGGAGCCCCAAGGCTGGCTTAAGACCTGCCCTCGTCAGCTTTTCCTGCCCTTACTTTTATTTTATTTAAATATTTTCATTGATTTTTTTTTTTTTTTTTTTTTTTTTTGAGGGGGGGGAAGGGAG